TCAAAAAGTCCACGCATTCCCCAGAGATTCTACAATGTCAGCTCCACCGTACAGTAAGAACCTATGTACATGTGGTCTGTTTCTGGGCTCACTACTATGTTCCGTCAGTCTGTGTATCCCTGAGCCAGCATCTTGACTGCTATAGCTTTAGAGAAAATTTTGGTACCTGATAAAGTGAGCTTGCACATCATTCTTTCCTTCAAGCATGTCTTGGCTCTTTCTTTGGCTTTCCACATTAATTTTAGAATCAGTTTGTTAGGTACTATGTAAAATCCTATTAGGATTTTGAACAGAATTTTATTCAATATATAGACCATTTTAGAATAAAACAACATCTTCAAGATATTAAGTCTTCTAATTCATGAACATGGTTCAGTCTTTTTGCATCTATTGGTGACTGTGTTTCCTTCTTAATATATTAATATGTAAGTTATATTAAGAGATTTTTTTAGAATTATTAACTTTACATTTCTAGAATTAACCCAACTCGGTCATTATGAATTTTGTGTTTTTATATATTTGTTTAGTATTTTCAGATTTTTACACCTACTTTAATGAGTGACATTGGCTGATAATTGTTCTTTCCTATACTGTCTCCTTGTATTGCTGAACGTCAAGGTTATAGAAATGCCACAAGAAAAGTAGGTTGTATTCCCTCTTTATTCTAGACTCTTAAGGAGTCCAAGATTGAAATGTTCTTCTTTGAAATGTTTGATAAAAATTGACTATAAAACCATCCAGGCTGAATGTCTTATCTGGAAAAATGTTTTAAATTACTGATTCCACTTCTATAAATGAAATGACCTATTCAATTTTTCTATTTCTTCTTAAGTCAACTTTGGCAAATACTATTGTTGTATCTCATCTTACTTTTCAATTATTAGCCTTAAGTAAAAAAACATTATTTTCTTACTATTTTTAAATCTTTGCTGTATCTCTTCTTTAGGTTTATAGGTTTATTATTCTTTATTTCATTTCAGTGTTGAAAAGGAGAAATAACTCTGTGTGTTTAATCCACTACATTTGCGTGTACCAAATCATACAGAAAGCACAATCTACCTTATCTGTAAGACGGAGGTAGTAACAGAACCCACCAAACCTACAGGATACATCAAATGAGTTAATACATACAGAGTGCTCAGAACAGCAACCTGGCACATATTAAGGGCTTGAAAATACCATGATCAGATTATAGAGAATTCAATTATACTGAGATGATGCCTTGTTTCTTTGTTTTGTTTTTAACTAAGGTTTGATGACCAAAGCAACAGTAACTATTTATGGGTGAGACTTCCAGATGTGCCCTCCTTCCATTTGGTCTCATAAAGAGGTGAGGATAAATTTGGTTGTTAATATTCTGGTTCTGAATTCAGTCTGGGTGTTCATGCCCTGAACAGCAATTATAATGTGAAATAAAAGGCAAAACAAAAGCAAGAGGTCTGCTATAGGCTGTTTTTACCCTGAGGTCAAGGGTCATGCTTGTCACCTACTGTGTACTGTAGTTCATAGCAGGCAACCAAAAAAAAAAAAAAAAGTGAGTGCTTAACAAGGAATCAATAACCAAAGAAAATAATAAAGTTATGATGGAAACTACAAAGAAAACTTTTAAGAGTTTCACCAAGTTTTCATTATTAGAAGTTATTTTTAGTCATAGGTAAAAATATAACTGATTTTTTACATTGTCCCTTCATTATGGAACTCCTCACTATAAAAAGGTATCACTATCAAAGAGAGATGTTTGTTAGGCATTTATTCTATTCCCAGTTTCTATACTCAAGTTTTACCTAAAAAAGTCAACAATAAAAATACAGCAAAGATATTTAATTATTTAGGGGGAAATATAGTGATGTCTGTGATTTACTTTGAAATGGATCAAAAAATAAGATGGATTGATGGGTGGAATGAAGGATAGATAGATGGATAAATATGTGACAGAACAACTGTAGGAAAGTGTTACTGGTAGAATCTAGATGGAATTATATCAGCATTTATAGTAAAAAGATTGAAACTTTCTTTTTTTTTTTGAGACAGAGCCTCAAGCTGTCCCTCTGGGTAGAGTGCTGTGGCATCACAGCTCACAGCAACCTCCAACTCCTGGGCTCAAGTGAGTCTCCTGCTTTAGCCTCTCAAGTAGCTGGGACCACAGGCACCTGCCACAACGCCCAGCTATTTTTTGGTTGCAGCCTTCGTTGTTGTTTGGCAGGCTTGGGCTGTATTCGAACCCGCCACCTTAGGTGTATGTGGCTGGTGCCTTAGCCACTTGAGCCACAGGTGCCGAGCCGAAACTTTCTATAAAACTTGAACATTTGCATAATAAAACATTGGGAAAAGTATAAACTATACATAGCAAGTAAAAAGCTGAAATGAAAAGAATATGACAAATATTTATACTATAAGTACAGGAAGAGATGGCCGGGTACAGTGGCTCATGCCTGTAATCCTAGCCTCTGGGAGACTGAGGCAGATGGATTGCTTGACCTCAGGAGTTCAAGAACAGCCTGAGTAAGACCCAGTCTCTAAAAATAGCCAGGCATTGTGCTGGCTATTATCATTATAGGCAGGTGCCTATAATTCCAGCTACTCCAGAGGCAGAAGCAAGAGAATTGCTTAAGTCCAAGAGTCTGAGGTTATTGTGAGCTATCACACCACAGCACTCACAGGGAGACAAAGTGAGACTCTGTTTCTAAATAAATAAAACAAAAGTTATTGCTCTATATAAAGAGCTTATTTGAATTTATAAGAAACACATTGAGATCCCTAACAAAATAAATGGTTAAAAGACATTGAGGCTCGGCGCCTGTGGCTCAAGTGGCTAAGGTGCTAGCCACATACACCTAAGGTGGTGGGTTCAAATCTAGCCCGGGCCCGCCAAACAACAATTATGGCTGCAACCAAAAAAAAATAGCCAGGCGTTGTGGTGGGCGCCTGTGGTCCCAGCTACTTGGGAGGCTGAGGCAGGAGACTCACTTGAGCCCAGGAGTTGGAGGTTGCTGTGAGCTGTGATGCCATGGCACTCTACCCAGGGGGATAGCTTGAGGCTCTGTCTCAAAAAAAAAGACATTGAAAAAATATAAGTAAGAGAATATTTCCTATGGAAAATATTCGATTGCCTCTAGCCAAAGAAATTAAAATTAAAGCAAACCTGAAAGGCCATTTTATATCTACTTTATTAGCAAAATTAAAACACACGCATGAACATGCAGACATAATTCTAGCAAGGATGCAGTGAAACTGGTACACTCACATACAGCTGACAGCATTTACTTCAAACACCATAGCCTATTTGGGAAGCAATCTGGTAGTCTTTTGATTTAATGTCCTTCTCCTTAGATTATAGACTATATTAGTCAAAAGATGTTCACTGCAGTATTATTTACTGAAGGATTAAACTGTGAACAACCTAAATGGCCATAAAGAAAAGAAAGGTTTAGTAAATGATGAAGTTATCAAAATAATGTGGCATGGTGTACACATTTAAAAATGACAATAAAGGAAGCTTATGTAGAAATATGCAAAATGTTCATAGCACATAATCGAATGGAAAGCTATTGATTGTGAGACTAAGAATAAGTGAAATGTGTATTGGCACTGTAAAAAACATGAATAATTAATGAAAATGACTTGTTACCATATAAGGGGATCATCGCTGATTCCTTTTTCTAAATTTTCTTTAATCTTGCAGATAGATCCTTCAATTAAAATGAAGTCATTAAAAAGCCTGTGTCAAGACTGTCTACTCACAGTGCTGAGTTTGCTGCAGATGATGAGGATCCGGCGCTCGTAGAGCATACTGGCGTACAGATGCAACATGTTGTTCACGTCCACAGCCACAAAATATTCTGTCAGATTTCTCTAGGAGAAAGAAGAAGGCAAGGTTTGTGGCTTACTTTGTTTGTTCTTATTACAAACAGTACCTAATAAAAGCATGAGAAACAGAAAATAATCAGAAAGCATACTTGCTGCTTCTCCTGCCCTATGCTTTTTTACCCGGGAAACCAAATCCCACTCATGTATAAAATCATAAAATGTAAAGTTGGAAGGGTCCTTAGGGAGAAGGGAGCCTGAGCGGTCCCATCTTTGTGTGGGATCACAGTTTACGACACAAGGTCATATATGGTGCCATGTCTGTTCTTATGGTCGTTCTAAAAGGTGAGCAGAACAGGAATTCTACAATTTTACAAATGAGGAAATTGAGGCTCAGAGAGTTTTGCCAAGTTCAAACAGTCTAATGAGCAATGAAGACAGCAGCAGGACTGCTGCTCAGAGCTTCAGACCCCAGATCCCAGAACCTTTTGGATGGAATGTGCCATACGTCTATGCAAAAGCAAGTACCCCAGGGACCAGATGCTTCTGGCATGGAGCCCGTTTCTGTGCAGGGGACACCACCCGCAAAGGCTGGATGTGCTCCTTCCCTGTCATCCCTGCTGGTGCTCCCCTCCTTCACAGTTTACATTCACTAAAATGGCTCAGCTGGAATTAAAGCAATTTCAAAGATTTACAATTTCCAGGTATTTCACTCAAAGGAGGAAAAAAATTGAAGACAAACAGCAGCAAGTTGTGACAAAGCCATGTTTTAACCAGCTTTTCTCTGTAGCCTGGGTCTCATTCTTTTAATTAGTACTATAGATTGGTACTCTTCAGATTGCAGAGAAAATGTAATGTGTTTCATTTATACAACCCTTTCTATACCCACCTGACTTTAATAATACACATGAATATGCTAATTTCCTCAATGTTAACCTCAGCAAGGTTTTCAATACCACACAATATAATCCTCTGAAAATGAAAGGGGTTGGGGAGGGAAGGAACGCTATTGCCAGGGCTTGCAGTTTATAATGATTAAAGATCTATAACCCATAAGTTGAAGTGAACCAGGTAGATTTTACATGCAAAATAGCATAAAGTGCTTTTCAACAATATTATGGGCTGGGAGTAAGAATGGGCACTTATCTTATGATTGATTATTGTTTGGCTGGAGTACCCAGTTAACCATAAACCTTTATAAATAAAAAGCAAGTGAATTAATAGTTCCATACTAACTACTTATCAACTGCCAGCCACTGTAACAGACACTTCACAGGTGTAATCTTATGCAATCTTCACACAAATCCAATGATGTATTATTCTTTCCAATGTCGAGATGAACAAATTAAGCCTTAACCAGTGGCGTCAGATCTGACTTCACAGCCTATATGCTTTTCCTTACATGAAATAGTCCCTCTTAAATACATCTACCATGTACAAGACTTTACCTACACTATTTCACTTAATCTTGAAACTACTTCTTGAATTAGATATTATCCCTACATAAAGCGGACAAAACAGTGGCACAGAGAAACAAGCTAACTCGACAAAGGTCACACATAGTGAGTGGATAAGACATGGTTCAGTCCTGGGTGGGTCTGTTTCTAATCTTGGACCCTTTTTTTATACCACTCAAAATTATAGGCAAAAATTGTATTTGGAAAAAAAAGAGATCAAATATGCCTAAACAAAGGGGGACATTTTTCTGTTAAAAATTACTGTTACCCTAATTCCTGAGTAATCCTTATGTGCCAGGCAATAGGTACTTCACCTGTGTTCTCTCTAATCTTCTCAACAACCCTGAGATAGGCATTATCACCTCCATGTTATAGACGGGAAAATAGGCTCAGGAAGGTTTAGTAGTCTTCTAAAGGTCATCCAGCTAGAAAGGGCAGAGCCAAGTTTCAAAACCAGGTCGCCCGAATCTAAAACTCATACTCTAACCACAGCATCAACTTGCCTCTTAACAAACCCAATGAAAAAACAACACAATGCCAAAGGCAGCCTGAAGAAGGCAACCAGCGTATCTTGCCCAGTGGACTGAGGAACGCTGAGCTAATGATGTCAGGGTGAGGTTTGTGCTGAAGACTGTGACATGGCAGAGCTCTCCTTGCAAACAAAAACGAGGCCCTTTGCTGAGCATTTCAGTAAAAGCTTAACTGCTGATGAATTACATGAATTTTTCTTTTAGGAGAGGATGGAAGTAAAAAGAAAATAGAAATGAGGAGCTTAAAGAAGGCCAGAAAGCCCATTAGCACTTTTGACAGATCCAAAGATAACTCTGAAGCCACCAAAACGTGGCCTCAAGAGTCTGCCAAGAAGCTTCACGCTGGGGAGAAATATGTTACACAGCTTGCCGTCCAAATAGGGAGACACAGCGTCAGAGACAAATCTTGTGCCTTATTTTGGTGGAAGAAAAAAAAATCACATGGATACTTTTGTGGATGGGGAAGGGAACATTTCTGAAATAAAAACACCATTTGATTGAGGCATGCCTCCTATCTCCAATCACGTTCTGAGGGATTCAGGTGCTTGTTCCAAAAACCCTACACAGGTACGTTAAAAATATGTAACATTTAGCCAAATTCTCTCTAAACTGTCATGTACTTTTTTTGGTATTTCTCATCCCATCTGTGCTGATTACCAAGATATTTGTGTCTAAACAGAAGCTGTCTTTCTTATCTGCTTCCTCCACTGCCTCTTTCCTTCTGGGATGCCACCCGCCTAAGCGGGTGCGAGTGGGTGGAGTGCCAATAGCCCTGGGAACCTCGCTCAGCCCTGGGAGCACCTGTAGGGCAGAGTGGGGCCTTGGGAGCAGCTGCAGGGAATGCCTGCAGTTCCCACCCCTGGGAGACAGGGATCGCCCTCCTGCCTTTAAGCGCGCAGTAGCTTGAGCCACACCAATCCTCGATTTCTCAGACCTGCCATGACTTTTCGTACCCCCAGGCCTTTACTTCTGCTGTTCCCTCTGCTGAGAATGCTTTTCTCTTCATTGAGGACATCCATTTTAGACCCAGGTGAAATGCCACCTGGTCCCCGAAGACTTCCTCAATGCAACAATCAACTTTCCTTTCTGCTTCCATGGTACTTTGTTCCCACCTTATAATAATTCAGTTTGTTTTTATCTTTGAGACAGGACCTCACCTGTTGCCTGGGATAGAATGCAGGTGTCGTCAGACCTCACTGCAAACTACTGGGCTCAAGCGATTCTCTCTGCTCAGCCTCCCAGAATTCTGGAATTATAGGTCTGAGTTACCACACCCAGCCAATAATTCAGTTTTAAGTATACTTTGGTCACGAGACTGAGGTCCTTTTGGGTAAAATTACAAATCCCGTCATCTGTCAGTTAGAAAATGAATCAGTGAGTGAAGGAAACAGTGACTGAAAATTACTCTTAGCTCTAGTGTGAGCGGTACAGGAGGGGCACCCCAACCCCTGTGTGAGCAGTACTGGAGGGGCACCCCAACTCTAGTGTGAGCAGTACAGGAAGGGGCACCCCAACTGTAGTGTGAGCAGTACAGGAGGGGCACCCCAACCCTAGTGTGAGAGATAGAGGAGGGGCACCCCAGCCCTAGTGTGAGCAGTACAGGAGGGGCACCCCAGCCCTAGTGTGAGAGATAGAGGAGGGGCACCCCAGCCCTAGCGTGAGCGGTACAGGAGGGGCAGCCCAACTCTAGTGTGAGCGGTACAGGAGGGACACCCCAACTCTAGTGTGAGAGGTACAGGAGGGGTACCCCAACTCTAGTGTGAGAGGTACAGGAGGGGCACCCCAACTCTAGTGTGAGAGGTACAGGAGGGG